TTTTTTTTAAGATTTTATTTATTTATTTGACAGAGAGAGACACACCAAGAGAGGGAACACAAGCAGGGGAAGTGGGAGAGGGAGAAGCAGGCTTCCCGCTGAGCAGGGAGCCCGATGCGGGGCTCGATCCCAGGATCCTGGGATCATGACCCGAGCCGAAGGCAGACGCTGAACGACTGAGCCACCCAGGCGCCCCAGTGAGATTACTTTTTAAACTGAAATTGTACAGATATTAGTTAACACCACAGGGGATTCTATTTATTGCTACACTTGTTAGGGCTTAATATTTTAGCTATCTATACACGTGCATGGGAATGGTGTGGATAATCCTTTCAATTGACTCTCATTCATTACTTTATTGTATATATTAACTCTAAGACCTTAGGCAAGTTATTTTGACTTTCTATAAATTATCCTGCCTGTAAAATGAAGCGGACTGGCTGATCTCTACCCTTATAGCTCAGAAAGTTTCGTTCTGTTTGACTGTGCTTTGGATTCCTTCTAGGTGCACAGCACTGCATTAGTCTCTGAAGAATACATACTTGTCATTACAATAACATTACTATGGGTCACTGAAACACAAAGATACATTAGGCGAACAAAGAAAAGTTAGGTTTAAAACACTGTGTTCATGCTTCTCTTTGTGTGTGGGTTTTTAAAAGTGGGAACTGGGGAAATAGACACCCATATGTGTAAATACAGAGACTATCTCTGAAAGCATACACAAAACCCCAGTAATATTTGTTGTCTTTGGGTAGGAGACTGGCTGCCTGGGAGATGGGGTGGGAGAGAAACCTTTTACTGTATATGTTTTTGATGAGTTTTGGAACATTGGTGAGGTCCGGAGCCCATGGCCAAGAAAGAATTCTTGAGATGTCTTTGGTGCAAAAAAAGGTGATTTTATTTTATTATTTTTTAAAGGTTTTATTTATTTATTTGTGAGAGAGAGAGCACAAGCAGGGGGAAGTGGCAGGCAGAGGGAGAAGCAGGCTTCCTGCTGAGCAAGGAGCCCGATGTGGGACTCCATCCCAGGACTCCGGGATCATGACCTGAGCTGAAGGCAGATGCTTAACCGTCTGAGCCACCCAGGTGCCCCAAAAAAGGTGATTTTTTTTTTTTTTTAAGATTTTATTTATTTGACAGAGAGAGAGACAGGAAGAGCAGGAACACAAGCAGGGGGAATGGGAGAGGGAGAAGCAGGCTTCCCGCGGAGCAGGGAGCCTGATGCTGGACTTGATCCCAGGACCCTGGGACCATGACCCGAGCTGAAGGCAGACACTCAACCACTGAGCCATCCAGGCGCCCCCAAAAAAGGTGATTTTATTTTATTATTTTTTAAAGGTTTTTCCTGGGATCGAGCCCCACATTGGGCTCCCTGCTCCGCGGGAAGACTGCTTCTCGCTTTCCCATCCCCCTGCTTGTGTTCCCTCTCTTGCTGTGTCTCTGTCAAATAAATAAATTATTAAAAATAAATAAATAAATAAAAAATAAAAAATTAAAATAAAACAAGATTTTTTAAAAAGCAGGGAAATGGTCAGGGAAGAGCCAGACCCTGTTCTTGCGCTCTTCCTGTCCCTGGATAACCACAGAGTTGAATGCACTAGGTCTTACAAACAGCTTAGCAGTCCCTTCTCAGTTCTGGGTCTCCTATTCCTGTGACTCTACCCGAGTAGCAGCACTCTGGGCTGTCAGGGACAAGAGGAGGGGAACAAGTTGGGGAGTAGAGGGTCAACTACCCTGTGTGACTTCACTCGACCCTCTTTCTCAGCACCCTCGCGTGTGTGCTATCAGCTTCTGAAGGACAGAAGCTGTAGTTGATGGTACCCTAACTAAACATCACTGTTCCCTGGGTCTTCAAATGCCCAGTGCACATCGCGCTCAACTGACTACATCCACATGAAGCCAGTGCGGACTCCTGTCAGCCCCCCAGACACCTACACACCTACACACACACACCCACACACACGCACACACACACACGGTACTTGTCAACTCAACACAGGACCCCGTCTGAAGCAGGACAGGTATGAAGGATACGTGTGGTCTCTACACGCACACACACGCAC